TGAATCTCTTCTCTCGCCATAACTCCATGGACCAATCGGAGAACGACTCTCAGCGACAAAGCGACATATAAAAACGCGCGCATTTGTAGAGAAGGCAATTATTCTTTTCTCATAATTAGTCTCTGGTAGCTTTCGTGCACCTATTCAGAATATTATAATTAGTCGTAAAACCCGACTGTGTTGCAATTACTTTTGCCTACCCTTCCTATTTCAAACATTGCGAAATCAAAATTCTGATTCGCGGGCCGCATCAACCCGCGTAGTGTCGGAACATCCGAGGCCGAGCCAGGAGAACAAGCACCGCTGATTTTTCGCCAGATTCATCAATCGTTTCGCCAGACTCCGGAGACCCAGGGTAAACTCGGTGAAAAGCAGAGTGACCCAAAAGCGGAGTCATCACTCTGTTGACCGTCCATGTAAGTCACTGATTTCACTACTTTCAAATTTCCCTATATAGTTATCTATCGTGGACGTAACAATAGGTTTGTTCTTTCGACTTGAACTGGCTGCACTAGTTCACGAAGTTTGCACTAATGCGTTCTTTCGATCAGAACAGTGCAAGAAAATGTGTTCTTTCGAACAGTGCAGGCTGAACTAGTGCAGCGAGTTCAGTGAACTGACTGCCCTAGGTCTGGAGGTAGAACAAGCAGTGCAGGGCAGCTAACCGAAAAAATTTAAATTTGTATCTATAACCTGTAAAATCAGTATACCTAGTTGACATTACGTAGAAGAAATAATCCGACGACGGAATCTATAAACAGTAAGTAAATACTTAAATATATAATAAATATATAATGTAGATAAATATATAATAAATATATAATGTAGAATGACATAAAAGAAGTATTTAGAATGTTATCCAAACAGCACAAAATATCCGAAAGACATCCTGGGAAGGCTCTTGGACGTTTTTTCGGAGGGATTTGTTGTATGGGTATCCAACACAAAACAGTTTTTAAAAGAAATAGGATTGTTCAACAAAACATAAAATGCTATAAGTGCGAAAACATGACCATAAATTGATCTATGTTATTTAATCCAGCCATGTTGTCCGCCATCTTACACTGCTCTAACTTGCTCTTACCCGTTCTTTTCAGACCCATATGTATCTTTGCACTGGTCTGCACTATCTTGAACTTTCTTCAACTAGTACAGTTCCAGTGCAGCCTTAGGTCAGGTCGAAAGAACAAACCTAATATTATGTACAAAGTGAGTAGAATTTCTTATAGTGACTTTAATTTTTATAGTTATACGACAATTGGCATTTGACATAAGAATCCTAGATCCATTAAAAATGAACAACAAAAGCCAATTGAAGCGTAATGACGTATAGGCAGTGAAAGCATACCGACGAAGTTTGCAAAGTTAGGATACA